TTTGAGAAAATTATCCGGTAAATCCAACAGAATCAGTGGTTTTTGTTTTGAAAGTTCTTTGGTGAGTGTCCTGATTTTTTTTTAATTCTCAGTTTCTCATTGACTTAGTTCAATTTTATTTGTGATTTGAAATTTATATGAAAAATGGCTTTATAAAGAGTCTGCAAGTGGCATTGATCATAATTTCCTTTAAATTTAAGGAAGGGGGCAGTGCTGGCTACATACACTGAGACTGGTCCATTCAAATCCAGCCTAGGCCAGCTAAAAACAACAATGACAATTGCAAGAACAGCAATAACAAAAATAGCTGGGCATTGTGGTGGGTGCCTGTAGTCCCAGGTCCTTGGGAGGCTAAGCCAAGAGAATCACTTAACCCCAAGAATTGGAAGTTGCTGTGAGCTGTGACGCCACAGCACTCTACCCAGGGCAACAGCTTTAGACTATGTCTCAAAATAAAAAATAAGTAAGTAAATAAATAAATCTAAGGAAAGAGGTAGAAATAAAGTTCCCTGAGCCTTTTCGCAATAGAATCTAAACAGGTGGGTGTGGTTGTCATTATAAATAGGGTTACCAATGAAAAATTATGGGTATTTACTTCTTTAAAATTAAAGTGTGGGGGCAAAGAGAAAATATTTAACTTTGAATTACTCGTACATCAAAAGGAATATTTTACAAATAATTTGACAAGGAAATTTCAATGATCTTGGAGTGCAGAAGAAAATTGTGAGAAGTATTAATTTCTATGCTAGGATCTATATTATGCAAAAGGCAAGATGATAGATGTGTCAGCTTTTGTTTTTAATCTAACAAAATTCTTCTAAATATCCTGCTCAGTATTCTTGCTCCTTCTGTCACATGTCAGTATCCACCTTATCAGTCCAGAGTTACTAGCATCTACATCAAGTGAGAACTGCAATTTTAAGCCTTTAGGATAAAATGGATTTTTGTAGGAAAGGAAAATTAAGCTGTGATACTCCACTTCTGCAGTTTTTATGTATCCCTAATGACTTCAAATTAACTTGTGAATTGATTGAGTGTTCTAAAGTCTACTGGTTTCGGTAAATTTTCAACTGATGCCCAATAATGATGTATTTGACCATTGTATTAATCTTTTAAGATAGCTCTTAATTTTGATCATCTATTCATAATTTTGTATTTCAAAGTTTACATAGTTTACTTTGTCATTTCCCTTATTCAGTCCTAAAATCCATTGACCTTTTTACTCTGTTCCCTTCCATTAGATGCCTGCCGCCCTCACTCTCTGTCCCAGGTCCTAGTATCCTAGCATTCGTAATCCAGATTTCAATGACTTAACATGATGAAATTCCACCTTTTTCTCATGATCCTTTTAATTTGGGGGAGGTTTGTTTTTAAAAATTCTGTAATAATTCAAAATTCCTGAAATGTAAAAAGAATATAATAAGAAAAATGCATATCTCACCTACCCTGACATTTAACAGGCTTGTGATTTTGCCATATTTGGCACAGGTCTTTTTTTTTTCCCCACACCAAAACTTTAGTATTACATATATGAAAAATTCTTTTTTTTTTTTTATTGTTGGGGATTCATTGAGGGTACAAGAAACCAGGTTACACTGATTGCATTTGTTAGGTAAATTCCCTCTTACAATCGTGTCTTGCCCCCCAAAGGTGTGTCACACCAAGACCCCACCCCTGCCCTCCTTCCCTCTCTCTGCTTTTCCTTTCCCCCACCCCTCCCTCCTTCTTTCTCTCCCTGCTCTCCCCTTCCCCCACACCCACCATGTCATTAATTGTCATATAAAACTTCTTAATTCGAAGTATTTCAGATTGTGTGTGAAAACCCCACACTGCACCCCAGAAGTGCATTAATGTACATAGTTACTATTCAATAAAAAAAAACAAAAAAACTTCTTAATTCTCCAGTCTCACTCCTTTCCACCCTTATTGGTAACCTCTGTTAGGAAACCAGAGTGCATCCTTATTCACTATATTTTTATCCTTTTACTACATATATATTCATAAATAATATTTATTATAGTTTGTTTCTTTAAATTTTTATCTGTTGCTATTATATATAACTTCCACAAATTTGCTTTTTTTGTATTTTTTATTGATATGTATTTGTAGTGTACATATTTTGGGGGGTGCATGTGATGTTTTAATACATGTATACCATGTATAATCATCAAATGTGGATAATTTGGATATCCATTGCAATTCATCTCTTCTAGCTATTTTGAAACACACAATAAATTGTTTACTATAATTTCCCTATTATTCTATCAAATACTAGACTTTGTTCCTGTTCTTTTTTGGTTTCCTTTTGGATGGAATCTTTTCCATCCCTTCACTTTCAATCTATATGTGTCCTTATAAATGAGTTTCTTGCAGGCAGAATATAGTGAGGTCTAGTTTTAATTCATTCAGCCACTCTATGTCTTTTTCCTTTTTTTTTTTTTTGTTTTTTGAGACAGAGTCTCAAGCTGTCACCCTGGGTAGAGTGCCATGGTGTCACAGCTCACAGCAACCTCAAACTCTTGGGCTTAAGCGATTCTCTTGCCTCACCTTCCCAAGTAGCTGGGACTACAGGTGCCCACCACAATACCCAGCTATTTTTTTGTTGTAGTTGTCATTGTTTAGCAGGCCCAGGCTGGATTCGAAACCACCACCTCTGGTGTACGTGGCTGGTGCTCTAGCTGCTGAGCTACAGGGACCAAGCAAAAACATTTAAGTTGGCTAGAACGTCTTTTTTTTTTTTTTTTTGCCGGGGCCAGGTTCAAACCAGCCACCCCCCGTATATGGGGCTGGCACCCTACTTCTTGAGCCACAGGAGCCACCCCTCTATGTCTTTTAATTGGAGAGCTTGGTTCATTTATAGCCATTGTCATTATTAGTGGGGAAAGGCTTACTATTGCCATTTTCTTGCTTGTTTTCTAGTTGTTGTGTAACTCCTGTCTTCCTTTCTTGCTGTCTTACTTTGTGGTTTTAGTGTTTTTCTCTGGTAGTATGTTTTAATTCCTTGCTTTTTAATGTTTATTATATCTAGTATATATTTTTGGTTTGTAGTTACCATAAGAAGTACAAAAAAACCCTGTAGATATAACAAGTGTTTAAAACTGATACCAACTTAACTTTAAGCACAAAAAGAAAAAGAAATAAATTAAAAATAAAACTTTGTACACATTAACTCCCTTCTCCTCACATTTTTTAATATTTTTAATTTTTCCTCCCACATTTTGAATTTTTGATATCATTATTTACATTTTTATATTACGTATCTCTTAACTTTTGTAGTTATAATCATGTTTTTATTAAGTCATTCGTACATAAATACATTTATGCCATCATAGGACTCAATATGTTGATTATTTGTACAAATTGGAATGCTTACATTCTACGAAGCAACATAGCCTTCACCGCTTTTACCCAATTACAGGATTAAGACATTTATGCTCTACACCTGATAGATCCAACTTGTACTTGCAATATGTTCCATAGGTGTGGTCCCCCTACCAACCCTCCATCTATCATTCCACCCCCCTCCCTTCCCCTCGCCCTCCCTTCCCCTCGCCCTCCCTTTCCCTCCTTCATCCTTAGGCTATAGTTGTGTTTCATTTTTCACATGCCTGTGTGAGTGATTGTAAATTGGTTTCACAATAGTACTGAGTGGATATTTTTTTTTCCATTCCTGAGATACTTTACTAAGAAAAATATTTTCCAGCTCCATCCATGTAAACATAAAAGAGGTAGAGTCTCCATTTTATTAATGCTAGTTATAATCATTTTTAATAGTTTTGTTTTTTAGACTTCTTACAAAAGATGTAAGTGATTTAAACACCAGAATTACAGTATTAGTATAACAAACACAATAGTGTCCTTTTCATTTGGGTTGAAGATCTCTTTTGGTAGCAATAAATTACCTCAGTCTTAGTTGTCCAGTAAAGTCTTTTTCTTTTGAAGGATAACTTTGATGGGTACAGAGTTTTGGGTTGACAACTCTTTTCCTTCTTTCAACTTCTGCTGAGAAGTCTACTGCCAGGAAGTCTACTCTCCCTGTGGTACCCCCTGTGACCTGAAAAGATAGTCAGACCCCCACTTAGATGTAATTAATTGGTAATTTATTTTACCTGCTGCAGGGGCTGCCACTTTGAGAGCAGTCAGCAGCCAAGTAGGGGGGTGGGTTGCCTTTTATAGGTTTTGTGCAAGCATATTACAGAAGCAAAACATGTCTGGTTAAGGGGGGGTTACAGCTTGGGTAGTCATAGATACAGCAATGATTACAGTAATGCAACAATGCTTAATACAGCTTTGGTTGACAATGGATACATTTCATATCACAGTGGTTATGGTTATACAACAGTAATTAATCAAGTCTCGATGAGTATTTTACCATTGTTCACTTACTGAGAACTTGGGGGTTTTGTGAAACTTGGGACTTTTCTTCCTTGTTCTGAAGCATGTTCTTGGCAACCCTAGGGGGAAGGAGCCTGGGAACATGCCTGGGAAACACGTTTTCGGCCACCCTGGGCCTTGCCTTATTCCTGAATCAACTCTGGGTGGAGGGGAGGGGAGGAGGGAAATGGGCTGGGAAGCAGGTCACAACATCCCTGATATGTTATTGGCTTCTTTTTTTATCACTGGCTTCAGGACCCTCTCTTTGTGTTTTACCTTTGTGAGTTTGCTTATAATATGTCTTGGGGTTTTATTCTTTGGGTTGAATCTGATTGGTCAACTTTGACCTTCATATACATGTATATTTATATCTTTCTCCAGGTTTGGAAAGCTTCCTAATATTATTTTTATGAATAAGATTTCTACCCCTTTGTCTTTCTTAGTTCCTTCTTTAATTCTGATAACCCAAATATTTTCTCTTCTAATTTTGAGTCATGGTTCCCATAATCTTGCTCATTTCTTTATATTCTTTTTTGTTTTCTCCTCTTACTGTGTGTTTTTGAATAGTCTGTATTCCAGCTCGCTAATTCTTTCTTTTGTTTAATCATTTCTGCTGTTAATGTTCCTTATTGCATTTTTCATTCATCATATTTTTCACCTCCTGAATTTATTTGATTTTTTAAAATTATTTCAACCTGTGTTAAATTTCTCTGATAATTTCTGAGTTGATTTTCTGTTTTTATTGAAGTTTGTTTCTCTTTTTTTAGCAGCTATTTTGAACTGTCTTAGAAATTCCACATATTTATAGCTTTAGGGTTGGTCTCTGGTATCTTGTTTTGTCGTTTGGTGAGGTCTTAGATCTCTGAATGTTCTTGATGCTCATGCAAGTGCTGAGAAAATATATTGGTACCAGTCTGTGCATTGAGGGATTAGGTTTTATTTTACTCCTTCAAGTCTGTTTTTGTTTGTGTTGATTTTGCTTCAGAGAAGGATTCTAAGCCAACCATTGTGTGTCTGGAGCCTAGTGGTACTGTAGCCATCTCAGCACAAGAGGACATTCTAAGCCCAGGTTTGCATGAGGTTCAGGAAGACTCTGAGGTTGATGTGGCTTTCTTTTCCAGATGGACCAGGAAAGATCGAAGGAGGGTTCTGGGGCTGTGTGGGAATGTTGACCAAGGATCTACATCTAGAAGATGTCCTGATGGCCAAGAAGGCATGCCTCCCAGCAGATCTCTGCACAGGCAGGATAGGTCCCTAACTGCAGCAAGAGGGGCTAGAGTTAATTTTGTGCCATAGTTCAATCCATAGTTGGACTCCTTCAGGATGTGAAAATGCTGGAAAGGAGGCTGGTGTACCCATGTCATTCACTCAGAAAGGGATCTTCACCTTGCAGGTCCCTGCACATGTGTGGGGGGGGGGTTCCCTGCACATATGTTCCTCTGCTGCAACATAAAGGACTAGAGCTGAGACTAGGTCTCCTCATAATCTGCTGTGGAATGTGCATTGGTGAGCCCATCAAGGAGGCTCAGACTTGTGGGCTGAAAGATATGGGTGAGTCTCCCTCTGCATTCTTGTGAGAGTAGCTCTGAACTGGAACTTCAGCTGAGGAAGGCTGGAGCACTGCCACAGGACAACTTTTATGTCTCTGCCATGGCCACTATGAGTGGACATGAGCTTGTCTGTCAAGGCCCTAGAGTGTGTGATTCCAACCAGACACCATAGCAGATGGTTTTGGTTGCAGGCTCAAGACCAAATTGTGCTATAGCAATGCCCCTTGAGAGACTGGGCCATTTTTCAGGCTTGAACCCAGAAGTAAGCTTTGCAGGGCAGATCAGCCAACTGGGGGTTGGTCTTCATTCTTGAAATGACCTTCCTAGGTCTTGGGCTCCACTGGGGCTTCAGAAACTCCTACCTGAATTCTTAGTCTCCCACAGAGAGATTTTTAACTGCGGGTGGGTACGAAATTCTTGCTATCATGGGCAGGTTACCTTCTGTTCTGTCACATTGGTAACATCACTTCACATTTGGATTTTTTGCTCATCATCATGCTTTGTAAATTTATCTGTTTACACATGAAGGTATGGTTTACACATTTTATCTACTGTATTAATTTTTTATGCTGTGTAAGTCTTTTGTTTCTCACATCAAAAATCTATCTTGTTCTTGTGGAAAACCACGTGCCCATCAACACATGAATGGATTAATAAACTATGGTATATGTATATATATACCATGGAATACTATTCAGTCATAAAAGATAGAACATTTGCATCCTTTGTAACAACCTGGTTCCATTTGGAGAACATTCTCCAAAGTAAAGTATCACAAGATTGGAAAAACAAGCATTACGTATACTCAATGCCAATTTGAAACTAGGAGATTAATGATCACAGACCCATATGAGAAAAAACCTCAATTAAACTCAAGAAGAGGGGAGGGGCATTCAGTAGGTTCCCACCCAATGCATAGATATATGGCATACCCCCTGGGTGAAGGACACAGCTACAACTTGGACTTTAACGTTACATGTGTAAACTAGAGGTTTGTACCCTCATATTAATATGAAATTTTAAAGAAACAGAAAAAATTATCTTCTTCTTTACAGTGTCTATTTCAGACTTTTGCTACTCTATTAAAATGTTTTATCCTTCTGCCTTTGCACCAATTTCCTCTGTCTTGGGATGACTTTATTTCCCACCTCAAAGGAAAAAGAGAAGGTATCAGAAGGGCCCTCTCTCAGCTTCCTCCCCTAAAACTAATAAGCCTATCCTCACCCATGCCAGTTATTTGCTTTTCTCCTCCTCCTGACCTTCTTTTGCCTTCTGGATCCTGTTCCTTCCCTACCTCTCTTTTCTGGGCCTTCACTATTTCAATCATCTCATCTTCCTTCTACATCTTAAAATTTTCACTTCCCTGCTGGATCCTTCTCATACGTGTTAAGTATTTTCTAGCCTCTCCCAACTTAAAAAACATGCTTCAACTTCAATAGTTCTCCTTCAGCTATATATCACTGAATGTTTTCTCTTTCATGGCTTGACATATGAACAAGTTGTACAGACTTGGCAATGCTATTTTCATATCTTCCATTCATTCTCCAACCCACTGCAAAATGATAACGATATAGTGTCCTTGCCTGTAATCCTAGCACTCTGGGAGGCGGAGGTGGGTGGATCACTTGAGCTCGCAAGTTTGAGACCAGCCTCAGCCAGAGCTAGACCTCATCTCTAAAAGTAGCTGGGTGTTGTAGCAGGTGCCTGTAGTGCCAGCTACTTGGGAGGCTGAGGCAAGAGGATCACATGAGCCCAAGAGTTTGAGGTTGCTATGAGCTGCGATGCCACAGCACTCTACTGAGAGTGACAAAGTGAGACTCTTTCTCTCGCTCTCTCGCTCTCTCTATATATATGTGTGTGTGTGTGTGTGTGTGTATTATATATATTTTAGAGAAAGATATATATATATATATATTAGGGAAATAGATAGATAGATTAGATAGTTTCCTTGACTGAATATCTGTGAACCAAAGATAGCATAAAATGCTTGGTGTGAATTATCTTGACTAACCCTCATAATAACAGTTGTATTAGGGTAGATGCACTGTGTTTTATAGGAAAGAAAACAGAATTATAGGCTCAGCACCTATAGGTCAGTGAGTAGGGCACTGGCCACATATACTGAAGCTGGTGGGTTTGAGCCCGGCCTGGGCCAGATGGACAATAATGACAACTGAAACCAAAAAATAGCCAGGCATTGTGGCAGGTGCCTGTAGTCCCAGCTACTTGGGGGTTGAGGCAAGAGAATCACTTAAGCCCAAGAGTTTGAGGTTTCTGTGAGCTGTGATGCCATGGCATTCTACCAAGGGTGATGTAGTGAGACTCTGTCTCAAAAAAAAAAAAAGAAAAGAAAACAGAGTTATAAAGATGGAATATCTAGGCTAATAACATAATGCTATTCATCGACATCCAGAATTCAAGTTGTCTTCATTGGCTCTAGTGACATCAGCCCCTGGTGCAATGCCCCCCTAACGCCTACTTCCCAGTTGTCTGAAAGCATTTTTCAAACTCACCAATGACCTCAGTTTTACTAAACCTAATAACACTTTCCAGTCATCACCTATTGCGTCTCTCAGCAGTGCTAGATACCTTAAAACCTCAGCAGGTGAACTTGTTTGGGCTTCTTTAATGCCATAGTTCCTTGCTTTTTCTCCTTCCTCTTTGGTTTTTAACACTCTTCCCACTCCACAGTCTCCTTTGGTATGTTTTCTCCTTTTACTCATCTCTTATATTGATATTCATTGGAAATTTGTTCTGAGATATTTTCATATCATCATGCACTCGGATGACCCCACTGCTCCCATGAGTTCACCTGGCCAATACCAAAGTATCCTACAGATCTTGGCTTTAAATGTTACTTCCTGTGGAAAGTCTTATTGAACTATCATCTCCGGATTAGTTCCGATATCCCTTTAATGTTTCTCCCCTCGTATAGCCCATATCACACATGATAGTGAATGCTAATTTCATTAGCCCCCTTTCCTGCCAGTCAGCTCCTAAAGTGAAAAAACTAGTCCTGTTCTGCTCACTGTTATATTACCTTCTCCCAGCACATATTTGACACAGCTTAAATATTTTTTAGTGAGTGACTTGCATGCGTGGAACAATCAATTTCTTTGTCCAAATGAAATATGTGTTCTAACAGTTTCTTCTATAGGCTCACCATGAAAAAAAATCACTGCTCCCTGGTGCTGGAACCACCATGCTCAGACTTGGTCATCGATGTGGGAGAAGTGACTCTTGGAGAACGAAATAGGAATGAGCTGCAGAAAACACAGAGAGAACAAGAGAAGGCAAGAGTTGTACAGGCCGCGTGTGCGCTATTAAACTCAGGAGGAGGAGTGATTCGGATGGAAATGAAAAACAAGGATGAGCATCCTGTGGAGATGGGACAAGATTTAGAACTGGCTTTGAGAGAGCTTATTCAATCTTCAGATTTTCAGGCTTTCTTTGAGTACAACCCACAAGGGAGGAATTTCTACATTTTTGTTAAGTCTTGGAGCAGCGACTCTTTCTCTGAAGACACTTCTGTCAAACCCCGCATTTGCAGTCTGAGTTCTTCCCTATACTGTAGATCTGGTACCTGTGTGCTGGCCATGGATTCAAGAAAGGCATTTGGCTTCCTGATGACCAAGAAAAAGGATGCAAAATACCGTCTGAATAATGAAGGATCTCCACCTAGTAAAATTCCCCAAATTGACCACCAGAATACCTCTGAATCAAATCCTGCTTACAGAATTTTTCAAATGAACAGGCTTACATATGGTGAAATCCTGCCATTTCCTGAGTCTCAATGCATAGAGTTTAAACAGTTTAGTACAAAAAACATGCCAAAATATATAAAAAATTTAATTCCACAGTACATCTCAGCATTTGCAAACACTAGAGGAGGCTATCTCTTTATTGGAGTGGATGATGAGAGTAAGAAAGTCCTGGGATGTGCAAAAGAAAATGTTGACCTTAAGTCTCTGAAAGATATAATAGCAGGAACAATTTCCAAGTTGCCCCTTGTCCACTTCTGCTCTTCCCAGCCAATGGTGGAGTACAGCATCAAAATTATAGATGTTTTTAAGGGAGAAGAGTTGTATGGTTATCTCTGTGTGATTAAAGTGGAGCCATTCTGTTGTGCGGTATTCTCAGAAGATCCCAAATCATGGATAGTGAATAACAAGAAAATCTGTAGCCTGACAGCCAAGAAATGGGGCGACATGATGATAGACACAGACCCAGGTAAGAAGGAGCAAGATCCTCCCTCCCCGTCCTCTCTGCCTCTTCAATATCACCATGTTCTTCATTCTCTGTAACTTTCAGCTCCTCATACCCGCTGAAATTTACTTGCTCTAAACCTCCGTGCTTTTCATGTAGGGGAAGATTTTAGTGGGTGAGAAAAAGCCAAAATCAGGTATTTTGTGAATGGCGATTTCCTACAAAAGAAGTGAAGGGAAAATTTGGAAATGGATTCCTGTATTTAAATCCTCTATTGGAATTTTCTAGAGCCTCATACTGACAATGACCTTGTGCCTCAGTTTAGCATAGATCCACTCTGGGAGACAAAAGCCAGAGTTGGGTGTGTTTGTTGGGGTTGGGATTAGTGCAGGTGCCTGTGCTAAGATAAAACACGATGATTCACATTTAAAAAGAGACTGTTTTAAATTTCACTACAACTCAAAAACCCAGCTTTCAACATGGAAGAGGAAGCATTATACTGAGTAGGGAAACACCATTCAAGATTCAAAAGAAGGGCTTTTTAATGGTGGGGCTTTGGGAATCTTGACAGAGTCAAGGAAGGGTGAAGTGTCTGACTGCCTGGCCTGAATTCTGCTGTGCTCAGTGACAGCCTTATGTGGCCTAGTCCAGACATGAACCGGGAGTGGAATCAAACAGGGAAAAATGTTCTTTCTTTCAGAGTTAATTTCAGAGTTGGCCGAGGCTTTCGAATCTCAGCTGAGTCTGTCCCACGGACCTCCACTTTGCAGACCAGTGTATTCTAAGAAAGGTCTGGAGCATAAAGCAGATCTCCAACAACGTTTGTTTCCAGGTACTCACTGCCAGTTTTTACATTAGGAGGAAGGGAGATGACTTAATACATTTGGTTAAAAACAAATCTGAAAGATTACGCTCTGCAAATCCAAGTGTGTAAAGTGATAATGCCACAAGCCTCTTGCGGATGAGTTTTGGGTCCCCTTAGAGACCATCTAGCTTAGTGGTTGCAAACATGGCTGAATATCAGAAATACTGCAGGAGGCAGTTAAACATGCAGATGCCCAAGTCCTCACCAAGAACTTATTAACATATAGTTTCCAGGGACAGGGCATGTGCATTTGAGCAAGCTTCTCAAATTATTCCAATGCTCTGCCGGGCTGGAAATCACTCATCTAGTACAAGCAGAGGCAAGGGAGGGGTTGCTGTGGAATAACTGACCACTTCTGGTCAGCTCCTCAGAGATTCAGGAATTATGTTGCCTGGTAGAATTTAAAAATACAAGAAACCAGAAGTCATTTCTCTTAAAGCGGCTAGAGGGGATGAGTCTCCAGTGTCCCAGATGCAGCACAAAATATGAATTGAATACCATGGACAGTGTTCGGTAATCCATCTCCTCACTGCCTAAATATTTTATTAGCAAAGTTTTGTTTAGGAGTTCCTACTTAGAAAAGCAGACACAGATTTCTAGAGGAGTAAAGTGGCTGGGTTAACTTCATACATTGAGCATATTAAATGTGACATCTAAGAGTAGAATAAATACTCTTAGTATATACAAATGTCATAGTATGTAAATAGGTAGGGCCTTAGGCCTATTTTCAACTAAATAGTTGTCTTTTTTATTTTTTAAGGCAGACATAAAACAAAGTTTATTGAGAAAGAAAGATCAGTTTACAGGGTAAAAGCAAAGGGTAGGCCTACAGAGCATGGTATGTTCACCATAGGCCGTGAACGGGCCCCCATTGTCTCAACCAGAAAAGGCAAAGAAGCCAACCAAAATAGTTTTCCTACTTACATGATCTTTGTAGTAATTGGCTTATCAGAGAGGTTTTTGATTAATGACATTCCCCCATAAACGAGAGATACAGGTATAAGAGTAATTGAAGGCATACGTGGTGTTCACTTTTTCAGGTTCAATTAATTCCGTGGTAGTTGTCACCCTCGACTCTCCAAGAGGTACATAAGAGGGCAACATGATTCAGTTCATCAGACTTATAGGGTGTGGGCTAAAGAGAGGTGCACCAGAAGGAACTTCTCCTAAATTTCACAATTACTTGGGGGTTTTACTTTCTCCTTTAAATGTAACGTGATTCATACAAAATAATACAAATACATTTTTTAAATCTTGTCTATTTTACCACACCCAGTGCCATCGGATCATTTGAGATACACTCCCGAATCCCTCTGGCAGGAGCTGGTCTCAGAGCATGAAGGACTGGAGGAGTTAATACACAGGCAGATGCGTCCTTTCTCCCAGGGAATTTTGATCTTCTCCAGAAGCTGGGCTGTCGACCTGAACTTGCAAGAGAAGGAGGGAGTCCTCTGTGATGCTCTGCTGATAGCACAGAACAGCCCCCCCATTCTCTACACTATTCTCGGGGAACAGGAGACAGGGGGGCAGGACTACTGCACCTCCACAGTCTTTACTTTGAAGCAGAAGCTGGTGAACCTGGGAGGCTACACTGGGAAGCTGTGTGTCATGGCCAAGGTCCTCCGCCTGAGAGCTGAGAGCAACACAGACAGCTTAGGGGGTGAAGTCTCTCTGATAGATTACCCTAGGTCCTATTCCTTTCTGGGCACCCAGCAAGCGGAAGCCTTGCTGCAGGCCCTGGTGATCGTCCTCCTCAGCTTCAGGTCCCTCCTGAGTGACCAGCTTGGCTGTGAGGTTTTAAATCTGCTCACAGCCCAACAGTATGAGCTGTTCTCTAAAAACCTGCGCAAGAACAGAGAATTGTTTGTCCATGGCTTGCCCGGCTCAGGGAAGACAATCATGGCCATGAAAATCACGGAGAAGATTAGGAATGTGTTTCACTGTGACCCACGTGAAATTCTCTACGTTTGTGAGAACCAGCCTCTGAGGGACACTATCAGGTAAGCCCTGGACCTTATGTCTCTTAAGTGTTATTTAATCTGGGTTTTATTTCTTTGCTGCATCATCTTGTTCTTAGGAGAGTTAAGTGATAAAGTGACCTGTGGCAGCAGACTGTGTTCAGGGGAACACAATAAAGACAAAGTCACTCCCTCTCCCTTTTTAGAGAAAACCTTAGTGTGTCATTTTAATTTTTGCAGGAAGATGAAGATCTGCAAGGCGGTGACCCGGAAAACTTTCATAAAAAGTATATTTAAATTTAAACTTATTCAACACATCATCATTGATGAAGCTCAGAATTTCCGCAAAGAAAATGGGGACTGGTATAAGAAGGCAAAAGCCATCACTCAGAGAAAAAAAGCTTGCCCAGGAATCCTCTGGATCTTTCTGGACTACTTCCAGACCAGCCACTTGTCTCAGAGTGGCCTCCCCCTTCTTTCAGAGCAGTATCCAAGAGAGGAGCTCACCAAAGTGGTCCGCAATGCAGACGAAATAGCCAACTACTTACAAGAAATAATACAGAAGATCAGAGAACATCCTCCACCTAACCTTCCTCCTGAGTATCTGGTCATGCTCCATGAAGCTGAATGGGCTCCTGGTGTGACAGGCAGCAAAACGATTAAAAACTTGAACTTGGAACAGATGGTGACCTACATAGCAAATGAATGTCACCGTCTCTTGAGGAATGGTTATTCTCCCAAGGATATTGCTATTCTGTGCAGCACAGAAAGTGAAGTGAATAAATACAAAGATAAGATCTTGAAAGAAATGAAGAAGAGAAAATTTTCTCAGATTAATGATGTATCCATTTTCACAGAGGACATGGTGGACAGTGTCCGTCGATTTTCAGGCCTGGAAAGAAATATTGTCTTTGGGATCAACCCCACAACAGCTGAGACAGCCATTTACAACAATTTTCTGCTCTGTCTGGCTTCCAGAGCAAACAAACATTTGTATATTCTCAGCCTTTCTAACTCATGAGAAGACCTCAGTCTAAGAAGTGATAAAGACAGAATGTTCCCTTTGTTCCTGCAGTTTCAGAAAAGGAATGAGTATTCTGCATCAGAAAAGTGCTAGTGGGAATGCAAATTAATTCATCCTTTTTGGAAAGACATTTGGAGAACACTTAGAGAACCGAAAAATAGACCTGCCATTTGATCCTGCAATTCCTTTATTAGATATATATCCAGAAGACCAAAAA